GGCAGCGTCCAGCCCCATTGCCACCGTGAGGAGAACACCAACCACACTGAGGCCTAGCAATGCACTGGGAGCACTGAGTGAGCTGGGAGCACTGGGGAGAGCAGGAGTCTCCCCTAGAAAGCAGTCGACCGCACTGGCCTGCCTCACACCGGAGGGGCACAAAAGATGGGCTCATGCACTACAGGAGAGGGGAAACAGCCTCAAAATGATGTCACGATATTTTCAGAAAACTAACGTTTTAATGATAACACTACAACATAAAAATATAGGAACATTTTCAGAATGGTTGCACACAGCAGCATTTATTACCGTAAAATAATTGAAATGCATTTCCTATCCTCCTTTTAGGGCTGTGCGATATGAGAGAAATCTAATATCCCGATATAAGACATTTATCGTCCTGACAACGATATAAATCACAAAAATGTAATATTTTCTGTAAATTCTGTGAATCTCGGGCAACTCGACTTGCGTGAAGTTGGGCGTCCTTTACCTGGACTCGAGTGTTTTAACCGATGCATGAAACTATACATTTTTAGACATTAGTTTGTAACAGCCACCATTTTCGTTCCAAATTTGAGTCTAAGGTTTATTTTTTAGCACCTGACTGCTCTTTTTTTTCTTCTCATCCGTAAACTCTCTGCATACTCTTTCACTTGATTCAGTTTATTTTGAAAAGTCTCAACAGGATCTTGAGCTTTATTGTGAAAGGTTTACATGGAAAACAAACAAGCGGACAGTGGAGCCACGCGTTGGCTTTACTGTCATTGTTGCTAACGACAACACGTAAAAACAGGCGCTTGTCGTCCATAGTGTGGTTATATTAAATATAAGAGACAGAGAGAACTTTAAGAAATTAATATAGCCACTACAGTGACCCTCAAAACGATGAAAAATATTGCTGTAAACAGTTTATTTTATGACACCACGAAACAAACGATAGCGTAATAGGAAACGATAGACGTTTTTATATCGTCATCCGATATATATCTTTATATTAAACAGCCCTACCTCCTTTTGCAATGAGCTACTACTGATGCCAAATTTACTCATTTGAAATGTAAATCTTCTAAAACAAGGTGCCAGCGGTAGCAGCAACACAGTGCAATAGTAGTGACACAGCACCACATCCAGTGAGCGTAAAGTCAAACGTAAGCACAAAAATTTAGCTTAGCTACTGTTAAATAATGCATTATCAGAGCTAATTTCAACTGCTCCCTCACTTACAAGTTTACATGTTTGATCTGGTAGATTTTTTACATTAGACACTCTTACTGATGCAACCATAAAACTATCCACCCAGAATTGGGATAGAGATCTGCTACTTGTTAGGAGAACATGTAAACCACTACTTTGTT